ACACCCTCTTTCTGTAAGGGATCAGATAGTAAATATTTTATGGTTTGCAGGCCATACTGTAAGCAGAGAGGGTAGTGGGTCCCTGGAAAAAGAGAACTAGGCATGTCTTTCTTCACATAAGAGAAGCCATTTTGGGCCTAAGCCATTTTGTGATCTAAGCTTCGCCACAAAGCCTGCTCTTGAACAGGTCTCAGTAATTAATGATCTTAAGGGAAGTAAGGGAATGCAGGAACAAAGGAAAAGCAGTCAAGAAACAACAGTCCAGTGGTAAAACAGAGTCCTAGTTCCTCCTCAAGGGAAATATATAACAATCTGATACCGTCTTTAAGTTTCTCCATCCTCAGGTGGAGGATGGAAATGACTATGTTGACCCCTGTGACTTCAATCAACTAACGCTAGGACTCTGTCGACCCTGGCCCCAATTCTATGCTGAATTCTCCTCTGCTCAAGCCCCTTCATGAATATGCTTGTACCCTTGGTTTAAAGCTCCCCCAGTTTTGCTGTTCCGCGTGACCCTGCTTTGGGGAAGATCCCCGGGGTTCTCCTTACTTGCTGCAAGTAATAAATCCTTCCTTCTCCTGATCTTTGGCTTGCTTGTGTCTTCTGGCTTGACATCCACCAAGAGGTGAACCTAGTTTTCAGGTAACAACATGGGTCAACTGCTCAACTCAGCCACAGTAATACCAGAACAGCCAGGTAAGAATGAGTGGTGGCTGGGTGCCCATAAAACTTTCTTTGTGGATAATGAACTTTGAATTTTACACAATTTTCACACTACAAAATATTCTTTGCATTTTTTTAAATCTTTAAAAAAAAATGTAACAATATTTAGCCTGCAAGCCAGCTTTGGCTCAGGAGCCATAGTTTGCTGATCCTTGTCTTAAACCATTAGTGCAACAAAGGGGTAGGACTCATTATCTCCAAGGTCACTTCCAATTTTATACTGATAATACTGTGAATGGAGAGATAGGGAAAAAAGGGGGGAAAGAGATCTCCAATTATTTAAGTAATCCAAATATTAAGTAAAAGTGATAGTTTGGGTATTTCAAAAAAAAATTCAGTATTCAAGATTCAGATTATTTCGAGGATGAACTGCCTGCCCCCTTTCTTTGACCCCCTCCTGTCTCCCTAAGCCTCAATTCCCCTGCTCCTGTAAAATGGGGGAAATTACTGCACCTGCTTCAAAAACTACTTTTAAGGATTAAATGAGAAAATGCATATAAAGCACCTAGCATAGCTCCTGGCAAAGAGAAAGCATTCAGTAACTGGCCATCTTTATATCAAAGAATAGACTCCTAATGTTCTTCCTGTCTCTACCACCGCCCCCTGAAAAATTTTTTCTCCTCAAAGGAACCAGAATGATCTTCCATTCGGGCTCAAATTTTAAATCCCCTCAGAGTTTCCCACTGTAGTGAGAATAGCGTCTAAAGCGCTTACTTGATTTTCAAAGCTAATGATTGTCTCCTACCTACCTCTCGGCCCTCTGAGCTCCAGGTCCGCAGGCCTTTCAGTGCCCCAAACGTGCCAAGCTCATTCCCACCCTAGCTGTTTCCCTTGCTGGGAACGCTCTTCTTGGCAGATAGTTTGGCTTCTTCCTATTTTCTGAGGGCTCTTAGTCAACCAGTTCCCCATTCTAACTTTATGTTCTTTCAGGTTCCTCCATGACACCTACGTATTTATTGTTTGCCGCCCCCATCCACTAACCCCTCCTAGACCCACCGCAAGTCAGCTTCCCGAGAGGAGAGTCGCCAGCAGTTACCTGGCACGTTCCTTAAATGAACTGATGAAAATAATTTGCAGAGCACCATGCATGCTCTGTGGTCAATACCTAGCAGAGTTAATTACCTGTGCCAGAACTCGCGGGAGGGCCACACTGTCCCCCAGCCCCGCTCTTTTCTGGCTACAGCTAAGAGCTCCAGATTCCGGGGGTTCCGGTTGGTGAACTCCGGGGCAACAGCTTCATTTCCTTCCGGGTCCGCTTCAGGCTTCACCGCTGGCTTGGAACTCGTCGACAGCGCTGCCACCCGACACCCTAAGAACGTAAACAACCATACGGATCTTTAAAAAATGACGAAAGGGGGCTTCCCTGGCGGCGCAGTAGTTGAGATTCCGCCTGCCGATGCAGGGGACGCGGGTTCGTGCCCCGGTCCGGGAAGATCCCACATGCCGCGGAGCGGCTGCGCCCGTGAGCCATGGCCGCTGAGCCTGCGCGTCCGGAGCCTGTGCTCCGCAACGGGAGAGACCACAACAGTGAAAGGCCCGCGTACCGCAAAAAAAAAAAAATAAAAAAATGACGAAACGGACAAAACAAAAATATGATCTAACTTGTCTCCATCCTCTCCCCCTCAGTCTTCGCGCCCTGGAAGGGGGACAAAAGGCATGTTCGGTCACGTGGTGTAGTCATCACAGACCCTGGTCCTTAATTTTCTACTAGTGTCATCACGATGCTGTTAGCTCGTTTACTTTCCGATGGTATATGTTGAATGCAAAAGACGACCTGCATGTGCACATTGTGCTGACCCTGGGGAGTAATCTGAGAGACGTGGGAAGATGAATTACCGGGGTTCCTGCAAACCGACAACAGCTCCCAGAACCCCGACCGAAGTGCCATTGCTGAGGGGAATCGTAGCCAAAACCTCGGAAAGACCTCGCCTCCTCTCCTCACTGACGTTCCAGCTGCTCGCCGGCCGCAGCCATATTAACTTAGGGAAAGGCCTTAGGAGAACGTAAGGTCATCGACGCCTCGAACCCGAACAAGCCCCCTGCTGCTGAGTGGCGGACAGGGCAATCCGTCATCTCCGCTCCTCCCATCAGCGCTTACGCTGGGGCGCACGCAGCCGCCGGATTCAACCAACCACCTCGCAGCAAAGCGCTTGGTGGTTGGCTCACGGTCCGTTAAGTCGGGCCGAGCTCAGCGGGGGCGTCCCGCGTGCAACGCACTGACTGCATTGCGTTACCTCAGTTGGGCCCTCGGGTCGCAATGCATAGACCGATCATTGTCGGACACACACGGACGCAGACACACACGCACACGCCATTTGGGCTCTGGGAGGACGGGGCAGTGCGAGATGCAGTTTTCAGAAAGGGTGGTTGTCGTTTTCCCACATGACCCATGAAACTTATACCCGTGAGCCCGGGAACAAAGCCTGCTACTTGTCGCGTGCTCTCCTGGCTAGCTCATACCTTTAAGTAAAACAAAAACACCAATTAAGACTCGCTCAGAACCACGGCTCTATCTTACACGGCCCCACCCCCCCGTTCCGTCACAGAACTCCGCCCTACCGACCACCTTTTCTAGAAGGCACTAGAATGTGCAAATGCGCACGCGCAACTTGTGCGTAGTAGGGAAAACTTCGGCCCGGCGCCCACTTCCTCCAGCGGTCGGAGATACTGACTTCCGCCATCCTACCTTCGCGCCCTTCTCATTCGCTCTCTAATTGAGCGAATGTGCTGGATCCGCCCCCTTCAGGGCCCTCACTTCCTGCGCGTTCACGATTCTCCACCCTCCTCCCCATTTTTCTTTCCCGCCCTGCCCCGCGGCCCGGCCAGGTAGCGGGGAGGAGTGGAATTCCCAGCAGTTCCCGCGGCGTAGCTCGGGCCAGTTCCGCGCAGTTGCTGCTGCTGTGGCCGCTGCCCGGCCCAGGGACAAGACGCTTGCTGCCCGCGGTGTGAGTGAAACTCGACGTGTGCCCTGCCGCGAAGATGGAGGGGCCCTTGTCCGTGTTCGGGGACCGCAGCACTGGGGAGGCGATCCGCTCCCAGAACGGTAAGGGCGGGCGAGGCCTGCGGCGGGCCTGCGACGGTGCGCCACCCTACCCTGCCTCGCTGGGGCCGTGGCTGCCGTGCTCACGCCTTCCCTTCTCTCCCCAGAAAGGACCCCCCGGGTGGCACGGGCGGCGTCTGCGACCCGCGGCGTGTCTCGGCGCCTCGGGGCGGCAGCGCCCTCTTCCCGGAGCGCGGCATTCCCGAGGGCGCAGCGCGGTTTTAACTAGAGCTGCCCGGATGCTGCGGTCGTGAGGCTGGCGAGGCGCGCCCCGACCTGGAGGGCGGGCTCCGCGCACCGACACGTGCCGCCGCGCCTCGAGTCCCAGAGGGCCGGGTGCCCTGCGCCCTTTTGTCTTGATGCTAATCAGGAAGGGTGTCCACCACAATCTCTGGGTCTCCTTTTAGGGCCATTCACCAGGGAGAACTGGCTTTAACGGCTCGTTTTACTGAGGGGCGAATGGCCATCGGCCACTCTTCAAGACGACTTGCCCGTGGTCCTCCTGCAGATTCAGTCCGTACCCCACCTGTCGCTGACCACTTCTTGTAACAAAGCTAGCTGACGAAGTTTTTGTTGAATGTTAAATGATAAACACATTTTATCTAGTAAATTTTAACCGCTTAAGGCATTGTTGAGATGGTTTACACTTCAGAAGTCACGAATGCCAGTCCCTCGTACCGTCATTTGATAGATTCCTATTTTTGTCATGAACAAATTTGAAGTATAGTCAGAACCTTTGGATTTTACCGCTTTTTGATTCACAAAGTCTTGTTAATTTTAATAGAACTTTTTTTTTCTTAAACCTGCCAGAGTCTGAAGGAAAAGGCTGATGCATATCTATTTCTGTTCTTTGTGGAGTGGCAGAATCTGAAATGTCGAAGGGTAGATTATGTTTTAATTTTATGAGACAATAAAGTGGGTACTCTCTACAACACTTGGCGTCCCCTTGGCGGTTGCATTCAGACTGTATGTTACTAGCCACTCCCCTCCCCATATTAGACTTTTAATAGCTTATTTTCAAATTGGGATGGATTTGTAGATTTGAAAAATACAGAGGCTGTTGCAAGTCAGTTACTTTTTTTAGGCTGAAATGATTGTCTCTTGGAATCCAGGATTTTCTGATTTCTTTTTTTCATTTCTGCAGTCATGGCTGCAGCTTCGATTGCCAATATTGTGAAAAGTTCTCTTGGTCCAGTTGGCTTGGATAAAATGTTAGTGGATGATATTGGTGTAAGTATATCTAAATATTGTGTTAGTCACTTTAAGGGGAAAAAACGGTTCATAAACACCTCGCTTTGTAAATTCTTTGTTTTTATCAGGATGCTAGTGTTGAAAGGTATACCGAAGGTGAATGTATCATAATGGGGTTGTTCTAACTTAGGGGATATTCTGTTTTTGTGGGTGATTATGTCAGTTTTTCCTCCCCCGGAAATTTCTTAGGATGTAACCATTACTAATGATGGTGCGACCATCCTGAAGTTACTGGAGGTGGAACACCCTGCAGCCAGAGTTCTTTGCGAGCTCGCTGACCTGCAAGACAAAGAAGTGGGAGACGGAACTACCTCCGTGGTAGGTAAAGACTGATGGACTAATGGCTAAATACTAGTATTCCTTTTAAAATCAAACTTTCAGAAAGTGAAGCCAGAGGTAAGTCATTTGTTTTGGGGGTAGTGGTTCAGAAACAAAATTTGAAGACTTGTGGTTATACCTAGTTTGTACAATTCAAATAGAAAAGAAACAGGAGATAATTTAATCCTCACTTTAAATGTTTTTGCGAGTTTTACGAATTTTTTCTCAGCTATTATTCATGCATCATGCAGAATTTTTTTTAATGGTTTATTTTTAAAGGAAAAAAAAAGTGTCGTTTTTTCCTCCTCCCTTCACAGCCTGAGGCCCAGGAATTCCTAAAACCTTACCAGTTTTTTAAGAACAACAGGTTTTTATATTTTAAAGGCTGACAAGTGATCTCATGAGTTCAAATGGGAGTTTGAGAAAGTTTGTAAAGGCGGTCAGTAACATGATTTAAACTCCTCGAAGATCACCCAGCACCTTGATGTAGTAGAAACACTATTATTTGGTGAGGAGCAAATAATAATTTGCTGTAAAGAAACAAGCAGTGGTTTGTGGTAGAAAAATGGTTGTTTCTAGATTAAACTTTAAGCCATGTAAGAATGGAAGCTACCTCTTCTAAAATAATGGTCTTTGTTAAGTAACTTGTTTCTGATAACATAGTTTTTAAAATGTAACTATAATTTCCCCCAAAAGATGCAGACAAAATTTTTTCAAAGTTTTTTTTGATTAAAAAATAATTTTTGGTGTCCTTAGAAGGATGATTTTTTAAATAATAAGGTAAAATAGTACAGATCAAGAATTCCCTGGCGGTTCAGTGGTTAGGACTCCGCACTTTCACTGCCGAGGGCCTGGGTTCAGTCCCTGGTTGGGGAACTAATATCCTGCAAGCCGTGCACAGCCAAATAAATAAATAAATAGTACAGATAATCTGAGTGGTCAGGCTCTTCATTTAGCTTATGTTGAGCACTTTATCTTGGAGAGTAATGGATGTGTCTCCTATTGTTGTACTGACTCTTATCTGGCTTTAGTTATTTGCGTATAAGATACCGTGTAGGGGTGTCTTTTTGTCTGGTTTCTAATAAGCAGTTATGCATTTCACCACTGTTACCATTCTGGTTCTTAATATCTGATGCGTGTTAGTGTTGTTTTTACATATGTGTTGCACATAATGAATGTCAGGCTATTATGAGAGTAATGGATGTTTTCTCTGCAGGTTATTATTGCAGCAGAACTTCTAAAAAATGCAGATGAACTAGTCAAACAGAAAATTCATCCCACATCAGTTATTAGTGGCTATCGGCTTGCTTGCAAGTAAGATTGTTTACATTCAGAGAAAATTTTATATACTATTTGATGTAATAGTTGCCAACAGTCTGTTCTTTAAGTGTTTCAATTAATGACTAAATTTTACTTTGAAAAAGGTGTATTTTAGCATTTAAGTAGTTAACATTTGAAGTAGGAAGTTGGGCCAGTATCCTTTTCTTCCCATTTGACTACCACGTTATCTCCTAATAATAGATTTAGTGGCTATGCTAATGGGATAGATTAAAATTGCCGTGATCTGAAGAGGGAGGATTATTTGTGTCCTCCTCCTATATGAAATGGCTAAACAGAAAATTGATGCCTCTGACATCCTGACACAATGATAAAGCAAAAATTTTGAGTAGTGAATTTATGTTTTCTTCCCCACACTTCAAACAGGGAAGCAGTGCGTTACATCAGTGAGAATCTAATTATTAACACTGATGAACTTGGAAAGGATTGCCTGGTCAATGCTGCCAAGACATCGATGTCTTCCAAAATCATTGGAATGTATCCTTGTGATGGTCCAGTAAAGTTTAGGCTTTTTTAAAAGTAAGACGCTGTGTTAGTTTTTGTGCCAGATGATGCTGTATTGAAATTGCCTGTTCCCTTCTTTCCTAGGGGGAAAGGTAATACAAAGTATGTGTAAAAGTAGCATGCAGGTAGTGATAAATAGTGCTCTAACATTTTGGTGGCATATATAATGGTTGTTTCTTTGATGAGATTGCTAAAAGGAAGTGCCTTTGAATTACCCTTGATTTTCATGCGCATCCACTGTCCATCCCGAGTCTCTTGTTCTCCTTAACCGTGGGCTTAGAAGTGGTGATTTCTTTGCTAATATGGTGGTAGATGCTGTACTTGCTGTTAAATACACGGATGTCAGAGGCCAGCCTCGCTATCCAGTCAATTCCATTAATATTCTGAAAGCCCATGGGAGAAGTCAGATGGAGAGTATGCTCATCAATGGCTATGCACTCAACTGTGTGGTGGGATCCCAGGGTAAGGCTTATGGTTTGATTTGGTCATGTAACGAGAATACTAAAGGATAAAGTTAGCTGTTTGTGGACTGTATAACTACATTTTCAGGTGAACTATCTAGGATGTGCATTTACTGTTTTTTAGTGAAGCCCAGAGAAAAGGAAATGGTACATAATGTTGCCAATTCCTCTTTTGTAATTTGATTACATATAACTTAAGAAAAATGCAAATTAAAAGAAAACACGTGTGTTTAATGCCATTTAAGTGTTTCTAAGGTTAAAAGTAATAAAATCTAAATTCGTGTGTTTACATATAACAATTTAAAATCTCTGCAGGTCTCTAAGGATAGGTGTGGTGTATAAAAGGTAACAGCGTTATAGTTACTGTAAAGGTACTTAACGTTATGTTCAATTTTAGGCATGCCCAAGAGAATAGTGAACGCAAAAATTGCTTGCCTTGACTTCAGCCTGCAGAAAACAAAAATGAAGCTTGGTGTACAAGTGGTTATTACAGACCCTGAAAAACTGGACCAGATTAGACAGAGGTATGTTGAGAGTTTCATTTTTTTTGTTTTATTATTTTTTATTTTTTTAACATCTTTATTGCGGTATAATTGCTTTACAATGGTGTGTTAGTATCTGCTTTATAACAAAGTGAATCAGTTACACATATAGAGAGATTCATTTTTGACCTTGGACAGGGGGTGTTTGTAAAGTACCCTTTTTTAGAGCAGGTGACAGTAAACTAAAAAGAATGAGTGGTAGGTCTAGTAGGTAGCAGGGTATGATGATTAGGCAAGTAGTTTTTTTTTTCAAGTGTGAGTGTCTTGGAGGACTTTAAAAGTTAACATTTTTAACCAAAGTTTTAACTGAAGTCAAACTATATTTTACCCAGACTGCCTGGAAAATTAGAAAACATGGTGATGATTTAAGAGAGATTTGGGTGATACATGAAAATAAACATTCTGTGGAATTTTGGTTTTATGAGTATATTGATATTAAGGCTTGAAGATACATCCAGGAATGTATTTCCTCAAGTGGTACAAGAACCAAACAGTATAGTGTTGATTCTGCCAGGTACCAGGTAGTTCATACGGCCATATCTATTGACTGGCATGCTAGGGAGCTAGTCGGGAAGATGTACTCCCTTTTTTTTCCTTCGTTTTTTGGCCAAACCATGCGGCACACGGGATCTTAGTTGCCCAACCAGGGATCGCATCCCCTGCTGTGGAAGCACGAAGTCTTAACTGCTGGACCACCAGGGAAGTCCCAAGATGTACTCTTTTTTTTTTTTGGGTTCGCGGACCTCTCACTGCTGTGGCCTCTCCCGTTGCGGAGCATAGGCTCCGGACGCGCAGGCTCAGCGGCCATGGCTCTCGGGGCCAGCCGCTCCGTGGCACGTGGGATCTTCCTGGACCAGGGCACGAACCCGCGTCCCCTGCATCGGCAGGCGGACTCTCAACCACTGCGCCACCAGGGAAGCCCCCAAGATGTACTCTTTATAGCTCTATCCCTGAAACTCTCAAGGCTCCGGACGCGCAGGCTCAGCGGCCATGGCTCTCGGGGCCAGCCGCTCCGTGGCACGTGGGATCTTCCTGGACCAGGGCACGAACCCGCGTCCCCTGCATCGGCAGGCGGACTCTCAACCACTGCGCCACCAGGGAAGCCCCCAAGATGTACTCTTAAATCTGTCTGCATGTGCGCTCTTTCCATCAGAGGTCAGCCCCTCTAGAATAAGTATTCAGAGCCTGTTGCCTTCTGCTTTTAGAGTCTTGCTTCCTCTATTATTCTTTCTCAACTGCATCTTCAACTGCTAATTCTACTCTTCGTTCCTTTCTGGATTCCACTTGTACCTCTCCTATCCCTAAGTAAAAGCCTCTTGTGCCCCCACCTGTTCCAGTTACTCTCTATCCTTCCTCAGTTCTTTATAGCCAGATGTCACAAGAGTGATTTACACAAAAACCTTCCTGGTCTTTTATTTCTCATACCCTTTTCAACTGTGTTCTCCACTGGAGGACCCCTTGCTCAGGTCACTAGTGATCACGGCTGTGAAATTCATTAGACATGTTCAATTTCCACTTGACTTTTATCAAGCCTTTGACTGCTTGAAAGACTTTTGGAGGATAGAGCGGCTTTGTGATACTACCTCATGTGTACTGCTGTGCCTGGGTGGCCAGCGTCTCTGTGCTGGAGGCTCCCAGATCTATTTCTCTGAGCTTTAATTGATTGAATGCTTCTTAAGCGTCTCAAAGTCATTATGTCTAAAATTGAACTTGTGATGATACCCCCAAATCTGCTGTGTGCCATTTTAGTTAGGGATCCCTCTATTCAGGCAGAAGACTGGGAAATGTCTGTAATTCCTTTTTACTTAATACTCTTTCCGTTTCTAATCTGTCATCAAGACCACTTGGTTTCTATCTATAAATTAAATCTCAAATTCACCTACTTTTCCATTTCCATTTTCTTGCCCAGACTATTGCAGAGGCACCCAAGCTGGTCGTCTTGGTTTCAGTCTTGTTCCCGCCCAGGCGATTCTCCTCACAGCAGCCAAGTGGATCTCGTTGCTTGCAAGGCCAGAACCTTTTGGAGGCTTCCCATCACTCTAGGATAGGTTTCTTTGTTGTTGTTGTTTTTTGCGGTACGTGGGCCTCTCACCGTTGTGGCCTCTCCCGTTGTGGAGCACAGGCTCCAGACGTGCAGGCTCAGC